GTGGAGAAATACGCTATTATACAAGAACGCTAACACGGGGGTGCCATCTCTCCGACTCTTGCGGTACTCCGAGTGAGTATGGAACATTGTTTTTTTTTTGTGGCCCTTGTTCTTTCGGTTCTAAAACAAATAACGACACAACAACACTACAACAACAGGTCGGGGCCACCACCGGTGTCGCCCTCCTCGAGGGAACCGGAGGCGTCAACGGCACGGTGCTCGGGAAGGCCGTGTTCGGCTGGATCATCACCATCATCGTGTGCGCCCTCACGTGCTCCGTGATCTTCGCGCAGGGGGCCTACGCGCCCTACGTGTACGACACCATCGACCTGCCAACCTCCACTTCGTCCTCGTAAAAAGGAAAACAAAACGCATATACTGGTATATGACATATGCATACATCAGTCAGATACAAAAGATGACCACCTGACTCTTGTTGAGCCTGATACCCACAGGAGGGGAGGAGATGCGATGGCTGGCTGTGTGCTGCTCGGGGAACCGAAAAATTACATTTGGCCACTTTTTCTAGGGAATATATACTTTTACCTCTTTTGCGCGTGTTTGTCGCGCCTGCCCCTGCCTGCCGTTGATGCAGTATAATAATAGTATACCGTATACGACACAAGACAAGATAACACACCCCCTGGACCGATTTTCAAAGCTCGATTACTGCACGATGAAGAGGATGCTTAAACGAATCGACACGATGATATCGGAAAGCTCTCGACGAGACAGCTTCAACGCCGCCATTTTCGGCGGTGCCAGTCAAAGTGTCGTGGAGAAATCGAGCTTTGAAAACAGCTTCAGGGCGGGGTGTGATATCTTGTGTCACCTGCGGTAGTCGTAGCCTTGGGAGGGTTTTTGCATGAAGTAAACATGTTGGATAAAGCATGCAATCGGGGGAGTTGGGTTAGGAGCAGGAGCAGGCAGGGTCGGCGTACTTCCACCCTCTCCCTGTTTTATAATCTTCAATAAACTTGGTTTCTCACGAAAGCGGCCAGGAAGTAGCCTTATTCGCATTTTCTACTAATTATTACGCAAGCAAGCAAGCATGCATGCATGCATGTTGTTGGATAAAAAGGATGAAGGAAGTTGGTTGATCAAAGCTGTTCCTTAAACTCGTTTTCGGGGCGAAAAGAGCGAAAAGAGAAAGTATTTTTTTTCGTGCTTAGAAATTCCGAGACATCCGATCAATGAGAGTCATACCCATCCGTGGTTCCATGATTTGTTTCTATTTTGGAATCCATCCGGTTTAATCGCGTTTGTTTGTTTGTTTTAACTCAAGTTAGTTGAATAATCTGTCGCCGTACGGAAGATCATGAAAAAGCATGTACTGGATTGGGTGAGGCTTCCTTCGGACTACTAGTACTTACTACTCTGTTGAACTTTTTCGTTGCAAATTCAAATATCCGTTGGCATATATGTTTACTTTTTTTTGTGTTTTGTTTGTTGTTGGTTGGTTGTTTTTTGCAAGGGTTCATTTACTCGGTAACGGTTTTTATTTTTTAGGCGGACACGTTTTCGGCGGTAATACCATTTGGCGTTAATTGTTTTGGAGGACGGCGGTAATGAGTTTCTAGGCGGTAACGACTTTGGCCGAGGTGGTAAAACTACAAAAAGGCGGAAATATTTTGGCGGTAACCCCATATGGCGGTTTTTTTTTTCGCGGACGGCGGTACGTAATAATGGGTTTTTCGGCGGTAACGACTTCAGCCGAGGCGGTAAAACCAAAAACAGGGGGTAATTTTTCGGCGGTAAAGCCATACGGCGATAGTTTTTTTGGCGGACGGCGGTAATTCGTTTTTCGGCGGTAACGACTTTGGCGGAGGCGGTAAAACCAAAACATTGCTCTTAAAACGGCGGATTACCGGGACCGGCCACCACGGCGGTAATTTGACGGCGGTCATGAGTGAGTGCCATTGCCACATTTATATGGCCGTAACTTAAAGCGACACCAAACAAGGCCGCAAGTAAGTGTGGTGCTGAGTTACGGCGCCCGAACAGACGGCAAACCTCCTTCCCAAGATTGATCATATACTTCTACCATAGATCAGATTTGTTGCCGTTCTCACCAGTGACTTTCTTTCATGTTTACTTCAGAGTCAGCACGACGTGAGAACCTATCAAAAAAAAAAAACTATAAACGGAAACGAAAGTTACATTGCCTGCGCGACACGACCCACACAATCATTCGTGGAATCTCATCGGCTCAAGGTTAGATCCGGTATTCTCCTCTGTAGTGCTCAGTATTCTGCTGGACCACCTGGGCGTGGACCAGGTGTGTGTGTGGTGTGGGCTGTGGGTGTGTGTGCGCACGCTTCGATCCCTGTCCACTCAATATAATCAATAGGTTCTTCCGAAACCGAACCCGAACCAAACTTCAGAATCAAAGAGGAACAGATAGATAGATAGATGAAGCGATGAAACAAATTCTTTGAAAAAATGTTCGGGAAAAAAAATAAGCAAGTTCACGTGAGGATTCGACCTTGTGCCTCTCAGTGAACTGAGGAGGAGGCATATGTTGTAGACCTCTATTCACTCGGTCGGCCGCTGTTTGGGCGGTAACGTAGCTGTATGGCGGTAAAATTTCGGCGGTAACGCCATACGGCGGTAATTGATTGTTTTGGTGAACGAACGTCGGTAATGAGTTTTTTGGCGGTAACGACTTTTTTTCTAGCGGAGGCGGTAAAACCAAAAACACAGGAGGCGGTTATTTTTCGGCGGTAACGCCCATATGGCGGTAACCTTTTTGGCGGACGGCGGTAACGCGTTTTTCGGTGGTAACGACTTTGTTTTTGGCTGAGGCGGTAAAACAAATTAACGGCGGTAAAACGGGGGATTACCGGGACCGCCCACCACGGCGGAAATTGACGGCGGCGGAAATATTACCGAGTAAACCGTTGGTTTTTTGTGATTTTTCCTCCCATCCATCCATCCACCACGTGGTCGCGCCAGCGCAGCCAACGCTTGGGATTATTCCGCACGTACGAGATGGAGTCCCTCTTCAAAAACAAACGCCCTCCTAGTGGTTGCTTCAGCCGCCGACTCTTTTCCCGCGGAGGGAGACCAACCTGCTTTGCGCCGTGTCTCGCGCCCACCGCGACCGCGACCGTGGCGCGGTGAGCGTGAGGGGTAGCGGCGTAAAATCACGTGCTGGCTTCGTAGGGATGCGAGGCCAATGGTCTGACGACCACAGCATGCGTAACTATGAGTACCCCCACCGTCTGGACCAAAAAAAGCTCGTTTACTCCACGAAGAGGACGCCGAAATCAAAGGGTGCGTTTTTTGTTTTCGGAAAGCTCTCGACGACACGGTCCCCAACGCCGCCTGTCCGGCACCGTTACTACTACGGTCCAGGGGGTAGCGAGATATCTTAGCAACCCATCGTCTACAGGCCATCTGTCTTTGATCTTTCCCGTTCCCTCGGGCATCCTGTGTCGCGGGAAAGCTCTATAATATACGTGACGCTTTCTTTGCAAAGATTCGAAATGTTTTCCGACGTCAAGAGCTTTGCGAAGGGAGTTCAAAAAAGAAAATAGAATTACTTCACAAGTAAATTAGCTCTCCACATATCTGAGTGCCAAATTTCTTGCGCAAGTAACCAGTTTGAGGGAAAATGAGCCAATATCATCCCTGTGCGGGACGACGTTTGTGTGTTGAGCGACAGGCTTGCTTCGCTCCGCCGGCCACGATCAACTTCCGTCACGGATTGGTCCACGAAGGCACAGCAGCAGCAACTTATTATGATGATGATAACCATTTTCCACGTAATAATAATTCATTCATCATTCGTTCATCGCGACCTCGAGAATAAACGGAGGAGGTCTGCCATCAGTCTTGCGAGCAAATCTGGCGGGTAAAAACACCAACCGCCACTAACCACTACTTCGGGGCGAAACACTCATGAAGAAGCGTGTATCCAATCCGACCAAGAAAGATGCGGCAAGATACTACTAGCTGCGAAAAACAATGCAGCAGCAGCTCAAACCCACCATTTCGAGTGGAGTGGTGCGCAATATTCCTATGCGCTGGCGTGGTGACGGAAAAAGACAAAAAAAACATCCAAGACCGGCGCGAAAAACGCGCGCAAGACAAGAAAAGTTGGAAGAGGGAGTGACAACCGAACACTAGGAGTCCCCGCCACAGAAGATGTGACGGCGTTTCCACCAAGGAGGAGGAAAAAAACTACACACGTGGTTCGAACTTCAAAGCTGTTCCAACGTCTCTGTCGTTCAACTTCACTCTTCTCCCACAGGCGAAGTACCTGCCAACGCTAGTTCGGTACAAGTCTTCCACAGGTCGCGCAGCCTTTGATGTCTCGTAAAAATTGTTCCTACTTCTACAAGATGCACACATACATCCACGCAACCAGCAAGCAAGCAAGGAAAGAAGCGAAATCACCCGATTGACCTACATAAATCGGTGTGACAACCCGTCGAACATACAACACACGGGCCAGAGCGTCGGGCACCCTGGGAGGGGGTAGGGTACACTCAATCTTGCCTACGCACCGAAGACCATGGCAGACGGGGCGAATCCCGAGTTGCGGAAGAAGGGCCTCGCGCAACCGACACACCGCCCGAAATAAATAAAAAGACCCGTATTCGCGACGCCAAAAGAAATCCCTGCAGTTGGCGCCGCGGGCCCGGGCAACGCATTCGTCCTCGAAAGATGAATCGAACCGTGTTCTTTGCTGTTCGTCCGTCGCGTCACCCTTGGCCCCCGGTTGCGCTAGCAAGCCAGAAGACGGCAAGACGGCGTTGCTGCTTCCGTTGCTGTATTTAACACCCGTCCTGGTTTTATTATTATTACGAGGACGAGGTGGTCTCGGGAAGGATGATGGTGTCGTACACGTAGGGAGCGTAGGCCCCCTGCGCGAAGAGGACGGAGCAGGTCAGGGCGCACACAACGATCGTGATGATCCACCCGAAGACGGCCTTCCCGAGCACCGTGCCGTTGACGCCGCCGGCTCCCTCGAGGAGGGCGACACCGGTGGTAGCCCCGACCTGTTTTTTTCATATTTTTTTTTTTGGCGGAACAGGAGAACAAAGATAATTTATTCATGAGAAAAATATATTTTTTGCTTAACAGGAGAAAAAACCAAAAATCTCAATATAAACAAATCCGAAACCACGGTTGTGAGAGCGACAGTCTTTGCCGTACACGAAACACGATACATACTTCTGACAACGCAGAAGCAGCGCGGCACCCCAGGTTTGTTACGAAGATGAAATTTTACAATGCCTTTGGAATATGAAAAATATAGAGCGCATCCAACCGTTGTTTAAAAGCTGACCTGACAGTGGGTTGTGGAGAGGGGGATCTCGAGCCGGGTGCCGATGATGACCATCATGGCGGAACCGAGCTCGATCGCGAAACCACGGGACGGAGTGATCTTGGCGATCTTAACGCCGATGGCGGCGATGATCTTGTACCTGATGTCGTCAGATGGTAGAAAAGGCCAGGCGTGGAGAACGATGCAAGAGAAGAGAGGGTTTCATACGTCACGAAATCGTAGAGTCTGGCAAGTACACCTCACCAGAATACCGTATTTCTCCGCGATATCGTCTTGGCAAAGGTCTATTCCGGTTCTATTTCGGCGTTTTCTTGGGAGAAGGGCTTTCCTTGGAAGCGAGTGTGGCAAGGCTCCATTTCAGCTCTATATTATTGTATGCATATAGCTCCGCAAGGTATGGCGAACGCCTAGATATCTGCTCTGTCGTGACGCGTCGGCAAGGTTTATTTCCCTCCTACGGCTTGGCAAGCTTGCTTACCCGTAGATGGCAAGTCCGGCAACGATTCCGAGGCCGCCGAGGGCGAGGATCCAGAAGGCGTCGTCCCCGAGGTCTCCCTCCTTGCTAACCTCTCCCGTGGTGTAGACGATGTAGATGCCCGCGAAGGGTCCCATGGCGTTGGCAACGTCGTTTGCTCCGTGGGAGAAGGAGTCGCAGATAGCGGTGAACACCTAGCGAAGGGGGGGATCACAAAAGTTCGTGTGTGTTAGCATAGTAAGACGGCGCCGCTGTGCTGTGGGGGGTCACGTCTTCCATGTAGAGGGCGTCTGTTGTGTAGCAGACGATCGTGTGTTTTGTACGCGTACGTTCATTATCGCAATGTGGAAAAGAAAAAGTTGTTGAGGATGCACGGCGGTGAATGCCACGATGTACTATCGATCGTATCGCGAGAGCTGAGCATGCAAGGCCGACATGAACTCGGACACGCCTCGTTCCGTCGCAATCCTCTTTTGTGCTTGCGTGAATTTTCTTCTTATCACGCATCGACAACGGAATCGCGCCGCTGTCCATCATGGGGGGGGGGGGCGCTCCCCTTTGGCAGCCCTAAACCGACCGTGAGTCTCACGTGGACGGCTTTGCTTTGCTACGTTGAACTGCCCTCACAATCAAACAAAAAACATTTCTTGCGGAATTGAAGTGCCCGAAATGCACCCTACTAAAGGGATAGGGATATACAGCCGTCTCCTGAATCAGCTTATTTTCGTTCTTCACCGTTTTGAAGGGATACAGCCGTCTCCTGAATCGGCTTATTTTCTTTTTCACCCTATTGGAAGGGATACAACGGTCTCCTGAATCAGCTTCTTTTCTTCTTTTTCTTGGTTCCTCGGTGAGTAGCCCTCGTCCCTTCCAGTTTCTCACCTGCACGTACTTGAAGGCCTCCTCCGCGCGGGGGTCGAACTTCTCGGCGTTGTCGTGGATCTGGCTCACGTACTCCGACTCCTTGACGCTCGAGTGGATGTCCTTGTTCATCTGGTTCATCACGAACCCGACTACGCCGCTCTGCTTCTCCTTCTCCTCCACCGCCGCAACCTGGATTATCATGATGACGGACAAAGAGTTGGCGGGCAACAACAAAAAAGGGGGAGGATGAGGATTGGGTGATAGTTTTTTGAGAAGTACACTCTCGAGGTGCTTGGGCATTAGAGGAGCTTCAGGCGGTCACTTCCACGATGGATGTCGAAAAAAAGAGAGGTGAGGATTGTGCATTGAGTACATGTCTTTGAGCCCCTGGGGCTTGACGACAACGGCAAGTATTGGATAATCAGCGACCCTCCCACGACGACTCTCGGACGCAACGAAGCTCCGCGTCGCCAGGCTTCACTCAACAAGTCACGGATCGTAGTTCGAAGCGGAAAAGGCTACAAAGCGCAATGCCGGAGTGGGCCTCATCAGAGCTTATTGCCGCGAAAGTGCCATCAAGGGGTGATTTCGGATGAAAGTAAAGAATGTGCTGGGGGTAACGCCAGCTACTACCGCCGTTATCCGCCAAGCTCAAATCAGCGGCCGTGGTTTCCAACATTACGAGCCCATCGAACCTCACAACCCAAACGGACGAGCTAAGATCGAATCTGTGATTCGTTGGGTAACAAACAACAATGGGAAAAAAATAAAATAAAAATAGGCCCATGCCTTTTACTTCATGACAAAGCTCAGCAACTTCCGACGACCCCAAAAAACAAAACGTGCGAGCGACCGCTGTACAACTCCTTGTGCGTTTTTCTTACCGGCTTGAGGGTGCCGTCCTCGTTAAACTTGATAGCGATGTTGCGCCGCATGTAGGGGAGCACCGTGGGGATCATGAGCAGGCCGAAACCCCCTCCCAGGCCCAGGGCCCAGGCGAACGCGTCGGCGAGACTGGTCTCGTCAAGGCCAAGACCCTTGGCGCCCTTGTACACGATGAAGAAAACTGAAACGGTAGGGAATGGGCGGGCGGGCGGGCATGGGGGGGGGGGGTACGAGGCAAGCGACCGTGAGTGTGCTGTAGTCCTGGCAGGACAAGTATCATACTGCTGTTTGTGACACAAGAAAACAAGCATTTTGGACCGGTCTTGGAAGCTCGACTACGCACGTGCAACGACGGTGAGGATGCACTACAATCAACGGAAATGATACGTTTTCAAAGAGTTTTCAGAAAATAGTGAAACTTGTGGATTCAGTCTGTGCCCTCCGAAAACCGTCACAATGAAAAAGCATTACATTGTTGAACCGGCACTAAATAGCGACCCCCACTGCTGTATTTCGACAAAAATAAATGAAAAGGAAAAGGGCTTACCGTTGGTGGCGATGGTGAGGGTCACGAGGAACGGGAAAACGTTGACAGCCCTCTTGTGGGAGTCGGGCGAGCGGAGCACGAAGGTCCTCATGAACAGGAACAGCGCCACGGCGATCACAGCGGAAAGGACGGGGGACAGCGCCCACGAGGCTACGATGGCGGACACACCCTGGTAGAGGGGGGCGGTCGGTGGCAGCGGAAAGTGAACGTACCGTCCAAGGAGAGGGCAAAGCGTACATCGTCGTGGCGAGGTCGAAATGGATTCTCAACCCATGGGGGGGAGGGGGGCACGCTAGACATTAGGCCCAAGGACGCGTTCTTAGTACACGTCCAGCGATTGCAGCAACAAGCACAAAACCTTATGACGGGAGATATTCTACGTTCGGAAAAAAGCAAGAAAAGCAAGCAAGCACACATGCCAACGGCGGTTTGACGGGTCACGCACCTTGAGGTAAGGGAAGAGGTCGGCCTCCTCGTACCAGACCACGCAGTCGGCGCCGCGGTAGGTCATGGCCATCCCGACGATGCCTCCAACGGTGGAGTGGGTGGTGGACACGGGCAGCTCAAAGAAGGAGGCCAGCAGGAGCCAGATGCCGGTCGTGTACACGACGCACATGTTGCCGTACATAAGGATCCCCGGGTTGTCCTCGAAGCACTCGATCTGCCCGAGTTTGGCAAGTAGCAAGAGCTTAGCAGCTGTGCAATATAATGGCAGTAGCCTTGGTAGGGGTTGTATTTATTACGGAAACACGTTGGATAAAGCATACAATTCGGGCAAGTTGGGGTTAGGCTTTAGGCATCCTACATAATCAACCTGTGTGCAGGGGGTGGAGATATATTCCATGTACAAAATCCTGTTCTGAAATGCTCACAAATCTGGAGGTTTGTAGCATGTGTCGTGGACCCCGACGATATATACCCCCCTTCGACACGGGAGTATCTTCATCACCGCTGACGAGAAACATTTTGATCGAGCGTGTTTGCGCGTCTGCACTGCAGTTCTCTCTGTACTACTACAGCACTAAAGAAAAATGTCATGCTCTACATAGGACGTGACGATCGGAAGGTCACGAGGCGGAAAAATAAACTGCTCTCAGCAATCTACTTCTATGCATATGTATCACATGAAGCCGCGAAGGGACCAAGAGGTCAAGCCTCCGATTCCGTACAGGAAATACCGATCGAAGACCCTGCCCGTCCTTCGCACAAAAATCAAATGCGAGAGAAAGTTGCCAACAGCGGTGGCCGGATAACCGTTGGGTGTTCATTTGGGAACGAACCTACTGCTGATGTTACATGCACGGAAGAGCAGACGTGTGAAAGGGGCAGAGGAGACATGCTGAATTTGTAGTCTTTTTCGATGGTACACTTCAGGTTCAATCGGTCGGTTCCTTCACGGGTTTGAATGTTTGAATCGCAACAGCAGCAGTCGGCACCTTGCCGGCACATGCGTCAAAATTTTGTTTGCGATCAAACACCACCTACGCACAACGAGCTGTCGTACATGGTTACGTGGATACACACGCTTGCGCACGTTCCGTGACGCATCAACAGCAGTTTCGACTCCAACGAATCCGGAGTGTTGGCTGACTGACCCATTCGCAATGCTCTCCCAAATGTTAGCTCATGTTCATAGCGGTGGGAAAGAGTTACGTCATGTTGATGGATGATAACGAAGGATGATGATCATGACGCGCGAGCCTACGGCAAAGGTATGTTGGGCCAGAAGATTCGAAGATTCGTTGTGTGTAGATTCGATTGATTGTCCAAGAGACAAAAGAACAAAATCAAGATGGAAAGCACACAGCAGTATGACGGCTTGATCGGCACGGGCGCCAACAGGTCGCCGGGGTCTCTCGCTGGCTCCCTGCCGAAGGTCAACAACTGCTGTTGCACGGCGGCGCTAGCCACGCGTGTTGGCGGCCTCTCGAGGCATCAACGACGCCGCAATTGCCGGAGATGGGAACAAGAGCCCACTACCGCTGTAGCCTTACATTTGCTATTTAGATCACCAATTATTCTCATGAACACGCCAACGAACAAACAGGAGATTCAAAATCGAACAAATCCATGCGCATGCTGATTACACCCAAGCAGGATAGCAGCAGGGGCTTTTGTGAGCATAGTGCGAGCATGCACGAGTACACACCGAAGATAAAGAGAGAGAGAGAGAGTTGGCGCGGCAACCCTTGCCGCATCTCTAGGACACACGCACACACACACACCCAACTCTTCAACATTGGGTATGTAGACTACAACCGTGCGACAACTTCTGGAGCAAGTAGTCAGCCACCCACAAAACGTTTAGAAAAAAATACGTACTTCGTAAACCAAATAAACGCATGCATATGCATACGCAAGTGCAACCACCACATCACACAGCTTTCCCACCTCGGCGATTCCCTTACGGATGGTCTTGGTAACGTGCGAGCCAAGGAACACAGCGCCGAGGAACTCGAAGACGCCGGCCAGGACCACGGCCTGCTTGATGGTCAGGGCCTTGGCGCCCACGGAGGTGGCGAAGGCGTTGGCGACATCGTTGGCTCCGATACCGAAGGCGGCGAAGAAGGCGCCAAACGCCGCCACGATAAGGATCCAGAGGAACTGGTCAGTAGTCTCTGGCGCAAGGATGCGCTCGTCGAACACACCGTCCATGATTGCCTGCGGCCGTGTGTGTTGCTGTCAACAACTGCTGGTGTGGTGAGAGAGAGAGGGAGGGCGCGGTTTCTGCTGTTGAAGAAAGTTGTGGGGCGTGTGTGGCAGATGTGGGTGGACGCGTTCCACAACCGCAGAAGGGACCGGCATGCTTTGTTGGGAGGCAAAGATTCAGTCCCATTCCGAATTATGAACGGTTTTGAATCTTCGTCAGTTGCGATAGAGGCGAATCCGCCGACAGATTGCATCACGATCTCGCTCGAGTTTCGAAACTTCAAACGCTTTTTTGCGGAAAGAAGGAAAGCCCTTCGTTGCCGCGCAAAGAAAGATACCCCGCTGCCTCGCTATTGACTTGGTTTGACAATAGGTTGGCGCGCTGCTTGCTGGATACATGGAGTGTCTTCATGTCAGTTGCTAATCCCAAAATCTAGCAAAGACGCCGTCCGTGGTCACGAAAATGCTAGAGCGAGCCATCAGAAGATCTGAAGAACACGCACACTACTAGCAAGAAAAGGGTACACAAGCCCGAAGAGGTACACTTATACATCCCTGCAGCACGTTTGCGTGCCCAAAACTGAACTACCCGTCCACACACACTACATTCGACTACAGCAGCATCATCCCCCCTGCCCCACACCTTACCAAAATGAATGTTTATTTGTCGACTACATACATACAGCGTACAGCTAGCTGCCTGGAGTGCTGCCTGTATAATACAACATATATATATATATATGCCATGGGTAGGTATGGGGGTTAGGGTTGTGGTTTAGGATAGGGTTAGTTAGCTACATACATACATGCTGCGATCGGTTGAACTTCTAGAGAGAGAGGCCCACCCATCGGGTCTCTCTCTATGAGAAAAAAGCTGTGGTGCCAATAATAATAATAATGTGGTTGGTTGTGGTTGGTCTGTCTGGTGCTTTCTTTGCTGCACGTGGTCCCACCCTCCACAGCAGCAGCAGCAGCAGCAGCAGTATTATATAAACAGTAGTAGTCTATCTACTATTTATTATTATTCTTCGAATCTCCGACCAAAAATGAGCTGGTTTTTGGGTTTCTGGAGGCAGTAATAATGTATTTATAGTAGTAGTCAAGCACGCGTGCGTGCGTGTGTCTCTTCGTCATCATCACCATACACCCCACACACACACACAGCGCTTTGCACTCCAACTTAAATAACTTGCGGGGTGTACCAACGTGCCAACCTCAATAATAATAAATAAATGTGAGGTCGGCACTCAACCGGCGGTGTTTGGGGCTGAGGTCATTATTGTTAGTTGTATGAATAGGGATGATGATGAGGAGAGTGTGTGTGTCAACCACTCCTTTTACCCCGTAAGTTAGTGATTGTAGGTAGGGGTTGTCGCAACCCGCCGTCTCTCATCATGTCTCATAGATAGAGAAAAAAGAAGCCAGCCATGGATCGGATGTGGATAATAACCCACAATAAGTAAGTAGTAGCACACACACACACATACATCCAGTCAAGACACATCCAGTCTTCTTCACACATACATCCAGTCAAGACACATCCAGTCTTCTTGACTTTCTTCGAAGATTTCCGCTCGTTGTGCCTTCACATACATACATGAACATACTATTACTACTATTTTTCTTGCTGCACCTGTCTGTGCTGTGCTGCTGCTGCTGTGGTTGACTACACCTACTATATAAATAGTACTTGTTGTAGTACAAGGTCTCCAGGCTCGGGCGCCAGGCGCCCTCCCACGCCTTCAGCTCAGTATTATGCTGAAAGGAAAGGAAGGAAGGGTGTTGGGTGAAGACTGTGCACAGCATACCAAGGGCACGAAGCTGGAAAATATGTTCACCTGTAGTACATGATAAACTGTAGTGTAGAGGCTACAGCAGCAGCACCTTCAATACCACAGCATGTCATGTATGTATGTGTCGTTGGCAGTATTACAGAAGAAGACAAAATTAAACTTGCAGTTCACGATGTGCATGCAATGCATGATGAATGATGTGTGATGTTCGAAAACTCAAAGCACGAGCGAAATTACAAGCGAATTATTACTACAGATCAACAAGCTGTGGCGTACAACAACAAGCAAACAATGAAAAAACAACCCCTGTCCAACTTCCTTTCTACAGCAGCAGCAGACTTTCCTGGTGCTATTGCAACCTTGCCTCAGACTATTTGTTATTTATGCAGACCAACAAAGAATTCCACGAAAAGGTCACGCTTTCACGCTCTGTACCGACTAACTTCTGACTTCCAGGAAATATTCCACTACTAAATGCTTGTAGTTTCCACGAAATAAACGTGCATACATACATACATAGTAGTGTGTGTGTGGTACAGTGGGGGGCCCTCTATAGTGCCGGTACGTGCGCAGGGCGTTCACCGGCACTATAGCGGGCACCGGCACAACTGGGAATAGTGCCTCAATAGTGCCAAACGGCACTATTCGGGTGATCGATATCCCCTCAGTAGTGCCGGTCTGGCACTACTGAGGCACTGCTGTTTGAGTTCATGGTGTATCGCTTACCATTTGCGAGGCCAACAGAGTAGCATGTGGATCGAGTGTGGTGAATATACTTTGTGGGCGGCAGGGGCAGCCTTTTCTGAGACAAATGTGGGTTCCACTCTGATAGCTGAGTTTGCCGCGAAACCATTCCCGCATGCACGCGCAGAATTCACCTTCGGAGCCAAACCCCGTGTACAGCTCCTGTCCGTGCAACTTAGTATACTTGAAAAAATATCACGTTCCTCGCTGCCTCCCTACGATGTTGCGTGATGAGACACGCCAACAAAACCAATAAACGCGCCAGCAACGAAGCGGACAAAAATAAAACAAAACAAAAAGAAAAAAACTGCGGTATAGCTGTCCCCCCCTCACTCATCAACAAACTCTCTCATGTCTGTCTGGCGCACGCCCTTAGCGGCATGCGCCGCGATCATCGCCATCTTCGCTTTCGATAGGTGGAACGCAGCGTCCCCGTTTCCACTCTCCCGCGCGGCCACCTCCAGGACGCCGAAGTGAGAAGACAGTTCACCGTAAGCCGGTGGGGCGCGGCGGCCGCCCCCCGTGTCCTCATGATCACTGTCCGCCTGCTTGTTTGTTTTGAAAAAAAAGCGGGTGCGAATATGTACACAACAGTGCTCTTTCAATTTCAAGGACAAATAATCGGAAGGTCTATGAGTGTGGACATCGAGGACCTCAAAGGCCAAAGACATAACAAAAAAAGGAGGTGACATGAAAAAAAAAAAACACCATATGATACATACGAAAAGACGAAAAGGGAAAGGCAAAGAAACAAGGAAGGGCAAAAAAAAAAAAGGTACAGCAGTAGAAATCGGCGACATGAGGGCATTTTTGAAAAATGGCGGGGAAAAACAACGTTCGAGAGGAAATTGCCAGGCATGTCGTGTACTCTACCTACCTCCGGAAAGTCTCCTCTGCGTGCGGTTTTCTGGCTTCCGTCGCCTGCAGCTGCCTTAGCCTCCACTTCCTTCCGTTCAGCGTTCACCTTGCAGACCAGCCGTTCCGAGCACTTAAAGCGATCTGCTATCTGCTCATGAGAAATCTTGGCATCCAGCAGCTTGAGGACCTCAACCTTGTCAGCGTTGCTCAGCCGCGCGCGAGAAGCCTTCTTCCCCCCCCCTTTCTCTGTCGGACGTTTAGATGGTCCCGCCCCAGCATCAACCCCAGCTGCGGTCGCTTTGCGCTTGCCAGTCTTAGCAGCGACGCAAGAACTGCAGATGCGGGATGTTTCGAAGTCACCCTCCACGCTGCCGCAAGTGCCATGGAGCCGCCCGCCACATCCTCCCTTGCAGACGTGGCCATGAGGGGCCTTCGGCGTTCTGTTCTGTTGAAGGCACAGTTCACCTTCCGCACACGGCATGGTGCGCCTCTGCGTAGAGCTGTGTTGGACTGCAGCAGCACGGTGTCTGTATTTTGGGAGTGTGGTGGTGTGTGTGCGTGCGTGTGTGAACCGGCACTATTGCGGGCTGACGTGGTGCCCGAACCGGCACTATACCAGGCCCGCCCTCAATAGTGCCGTTTGGCACTATTGAGGGCGCTTTCTGTGTGGAGAGATTTTACCGGCACTATACCGGCAGTTGGCACTATTCAACCGGCACTATAGAGGGCCCCCCACTGTATGACGACTAAAACGTGATCTATTTGTAATATCTACCGTTCACACCTGTGAAAGACAGGCAGGGGTATTATGTATACTTACTACTTGTGGTGGCACACTGCACAACAAACGTACGTACGTAAACTCTCTATCTACCGTTCACCTGTCTGTCTGTCTGTCTGTATAATATATATACGGTAGGTAGAGTGTATAGGCTACGGCAGCATCTTCAATATACTCCAGGAGTCCTACTGTACAGCGTCGTTGACAGTATTATTACAGAAGAATACAAACAAATTTAAATTTTGCAGTTTTCCGTGGGATGTGCATGCATGCATGCTCGAGAACTCAAAGCACAAGCCAGCTTTGGCGTACCACAACAACAACAGCAAAAAAACTAACCCTGTTCAATTCCTTCCTAGACCGGTACTTACTTATTTGAGAGGGTGTGTGTGTATTTCAGGCATGTACGTTGCCGTGTGCACGTGCGTCAAGATACACGATGATGCACGTAGGGACATCGAAGTAATTACTTCAGTTAGCGTTGCTTACGCTGGAGAAGGTGACGACAGCAGTCTGTCGATATCTAGTTGACACCAAGCACAATTAAGTACTTACAATAAAATCCGCCGCCGGTGCTACATGAAACTTTTTGCGACGCTATCATCAGTGATGGACATCGTGTATCGATTGGCCGCATTCGATGTCGATATTTCAGCGATACTCAATATCGACATCGATCGCTGTTTTTTATTGCCGATATGCCGATACAGTATCGACATCGTGTATCGAGTATCGACGATACACGATACGATATTTATTTTCCGACACGGAGCCCCCAAAACTATGCCATACCTTCCATTGATAACCACGCCCCCCCCCCCCTATACACAACACACAACAGCACCCAGCAGCAGCACAGCAGCACACAGCACAGCACTGACTGCACGCACAGAGCACCCCCTTCGCGCACCACGCCCATCCCACACA